AGAAAATGCTTTGTCACAGAATGATAGTCTGTTAAAGGTGCCAAGTATGAAATAATTTGGGGACAAAAAAACAAACCTGCATAGAAATCGGAATAATAGGTCTTTTGATTATCGGAGACTCATTTCAATGGACTTGATTACGGACAATGCACGACGTAAATTTCACCAGAAAATTCCGCAGTGTGCTCTCGCAGTCGCGGACTTAGTCATTTTTACAAGGTTCGCCATTTTTGATGTCACGTGATAATTATGTAAACAATGTCTGTCCAGTTTGTGCGAACTTGCACCTCTATACTTAGTCTTTTGATATATATAACCACAGTCCCTCAGAGGGACTGTGATATAACCTAAATTACTGTTCTGAACGAGACAACAGACAGAGAATGTTTTATTTAAAAACGTCACAAAACATTCTCGCTACCTTAATATGCTGTGGGGGACATTCGTACCGAATTTGAAGTATTTATTTTTTCCTTAGAATTATAACTCAAACGTGTATGCGTTTGTATAGTACTGAATGCCCGAACTGTGGGCTGCTTTGCGCTAGCACAAATTGATCACATATAATGCCACTCTGAGGAAAATACATAAATAGAAATGTATGTAGTATAGAACATGTCTATTATTTTGTAATCATTTTCACAAATATTTCATGAATGTCTTGTGACTTTGTAATGTGACCAATGTGTAGGTTATTGATATGTTAGTACAATGCGACACTCGCGTAAGAACCAACATGCTTATTGTTCTATTGTTGTTCTTTTATTCTCTGGTTGGTCTTTACCATCATCACGTAATTACATATTACACACTCTTCACTCAAACACAATAAACATTGCTCACAGTCGTAAATATCGCATTGACACATATTTTGACCACTATTTGAAATTATCAGGTCTTCTAAACTCTGTTGATGTCGATATGTAAATATTTGTTCTTTTGTGAGTTTAATCTTGATACCTTTATAACAATTAAACACACTAATTTGACCGCATCGAGTACTCAGCCTTTATTCAAAAATAATTCACCTTCACCAATCAATATGATCAACACTTGACCAATAAAAAAAAGCTTATACGGTTATATATTTACACGAGAAGCCGAGGTGCTTTAGTGAAACACCATTAGATATTCTCATCACTGTTTCTGGTGATACTAATCAGCATATGGAAATGAATGTGGTGCGTAGATTTCTACATGCACACAAATATGAACACAATGTTGTGTTATGATGGCTAAAACACTTTCAACTAATAATAACACTTGTATAGCTGATAGTTTTCCTGGTCAAATTTCTAATGACAATTGGTCGAATACAAACATCAAGCTTGCGGGACTGACAAATGTCTAGTAAAACTACAGTTCACATTATGGCAGTTTGTTCATGATTAGTACTGTGAATTATTAAATTGTCACTATTAGAAATTTTCAATATTTTGTTTCTTGTATAATAAAAATGGTTTACAGAAAATATAAGCTCAATATAGAATTACAGATTATAAAAATATTAGCCATTTTCTCCAAGATCTCACCAAATTTGCCAACAATATGCTAAGTTTGCTTGAAGTGTACCAGATGACTACATAGTTACAGTTTAGACTTGGGATGTCGCTTCATACTCAGCTTAATGTTCCCAGCTGGCTTTTCGGCTGGTAACATCACCTGTGGATTAAATAATATTCAAGAGCATTACTAACAACTTCACAAAATGTTGTTAAATGATCCATACATATTTATTAACAAGCAGCCTCTCGGCTGAGATAGCTCCGCTGTTAGCAATGCACATTTCAATTAAAGAACAGAAGATATATTAGAAAATGAACAATATGCATAGTATCAATGCAATGGGACTTGCTGTTTTAAACAAGAATTCAAAAATATCATTTTTCACCATAAAGAAGAAAATATCACTTTTTACCAAAAATATTCACCAAAATTAGAAAATTAAAGATATCATCATGAAATGAACAAATTTGAGAGTGGTCCACATGTAGTACCTATATATGTAATATCAAAGCAATTGGACTTGCGGTTTTTAAAAAGAAGTTGAAAATATCACTTTTTACCAAAAATGACAAAAATATTCACCAAAATTAGAAAATTAAAGATATCATCATGAAATGAACAAATTTGAGAGTGGTCCACATGTAGTACCTATATATGTAATATCAAAGCAATTGGACTTGCGGTTTTTAACACGAAGTCGAAAATATCACTTCTTACCAAAAATGACAAAAAAATTTAAATCAAAATTAGAGAATTGAAGATATCATTACAAAATAAACAAATCTGAGAGAGATCCACATGTAGTACCTATATATGTAATATCAAAGCAATTGGACTTGGGGTTTTTAACAAGAAGTTGAAAATATCACTTTTTATCAAAAATGACAAAAATATTCACCAAAATTAGAGAATTAAAGATATCATTACAAAATGAACAAATCTGAGAGAGGTCCACATGTAGTACCTACATATGTAATATCAAAGCAATTGGACTTGCGGTTTTTAACAAGAAGTCGAAAATATCACTTTTTACCAAAAATGACAAAAATATTCACCAAAATTAGAGAATTGAAGATATGATCATGAAATGAACAAATCTGAGAGAGGTCTACCCAAGGTACATATACACCAAGTATCAAAGCATTCAGGCTTGTAGTTTTCAAGAAGAAGTCAAATAAGTAAAACATTGACACGGACAATCACTCATATGATAAGCTCCGCTCGACAAAGTCGACAGCGGAGCTAAAAATGCTTTAAATACTATGATTTCTCCTACAAACATTTTAATGCATTCTTCCATAATTTAAACAGTTTTATTTGTGACTTAAACAATCTGTTTTTCATATACAAGTATAACTGTGTGTAGCAACAGAATATCAGTAATCTCCAAAGACTTTTATAAAACTGTATTTATCAACCTTTAATGCAATAATCACTGGCGGATCCTGAAATTTGGTAGGGGGGGGGGGCGCGCTCCTATTGACGTGCACGTCCACGCACCTCCGGTGGGCTGGGTTTGTCAATTGATTTGACCATTTTTTTTGAGGGCTGAAGGGGGGGGGGTGCCTCCTCCTAAATCCGTGCATGATAATACAATTAAGTTATGTGCTCAGCATGAGTTTTATATACTTATATGCCATCAAATAGCTGAGCTCACATTTGCATCTATAATCTTTCAAATTTAGAGATGAGTAGCTTAAACATGGGGCCCAGGGGCACCGAAGTCCTTTGGAATTAAGTAGAACTTGGGAAGCAGACATACATGATTTTAACTGCTACTGTTCAAGATTCTGACTATTAATATGTTCAAAATTCAGCAAGTAATCTTCAGATGAATGCAAAGAATCATCTTTGTTACCCAGTATACGTAACACTGCTAGTCTTAGCACAAGTGCTATCAACTTGCTTTATATTTAGTTCCATTCAATTCATTATCAAGTACATTATCAGGTTCAGTGTCAAGTTTATTATCAGATATATTGCAAAGTAAATTATGAGATTCATTAGTAAGGGTTATACCCTCAATTTTGCATTTGGGACTGTTTCCTCATTAATTGCGTGACTCCTCATTAATTGGGTGACTGTTTTTTTATGAGGGCAGTCTCCTCAGTTTGTTTGGTTCATCTGCATGTTCTCTGAAAAAAAGAAGAAACACAAACAGGTTTAATGAAAGCACCATGTCATTCATACCTACAATGAATTTGTAGCACATAAATTTTGAGGCCTACTAGAATTTGAATAAAAATAATGATTGCACAAATAAAATACTGGCATATTTTTTCACCACGCATTCATCGACTATCAAAACAATATGTAATTTAGCTATTAAGTTGCATATGCAAATCATCCACACTAGCAACATGACATGCAGATTACATCAAATCTGTTGAGATGTTCATTAGCTAATTTACATATGCAAATTACTCCCAATAATATGACATGACAATTACATCAATGTATATGCCTACCAAATTTTATCCAAACCTGTCGAGTCATTTAAGAAATAATCCAAATTTAGTAAAAACATAGTTAAACTCTGGTGACCTTGCCCTTTGTTATATAATATAATTCCCTTTATCATAGTTTGTTTCAATATAAATATGCATTGTCATAATTAATTTTGAATACAAACAAGTTTTGGGGTTGAACCAACAGTGGGGAATCAGTCTACCGAATGTCCTTAAAAGATGTAAATATCTTACAAAAACATTGGGGTCTTATTTGTTTAATTATTTTAAGGAACATAATTTCCAGCTTTATTCAAAGTAATTCAGATATTTTAGAATAAAAACAAATGTCTCATTGCAAAAAAAAAGTGCTGCATT